CTATTTTTGAAGCAATTTTAAAATTCTTATTAAAATTATACAAAATTTGAACGATCTCAGGATCCTGTGATTAGATTCTGACGATTTTGGACTCGTTAGAATCGTCTCATCGAGACGAACATTTTTGTAGTTGAATCATCGAAAACGGATTAGTAGATCAAAAGTTATTGACTAATTTTACAAATTAGCCCATATGTATATAGTAACTTACGCATATGAGCATGTAATTGGATGGATTCCATTTGATATAAAATTTAAGATGGTTATGATAATTAGATGGATTCCATTTGATATAAAATTTAAGATGGTTATGATAATTAGATGAACTACTTGGCATTGACACATTCAAGATCTCAAGGGAACTGTTTTAGTTAATATGAAGTTTTTGAATAACGAATTCAAAATCTTATCTGGTATATTAAATTAAAGCCTCCTTTAAACATTAAAACGATTTATCTGAATTAATCTGGACAGACTTTAGTTTGTGAGGATCAAATTTAATATGCTAATAAAATTGATTACTAATCAATTGATTTAGATAAGGGACCGCTCTAATAAAATTGATTACAAATCAATTGATTTAAAGTAGGGGTCCCTTATACTAAATTTGATCCGTTTGTAATATTTTGAAAGATCAACCCCATTAATAGTAGGCAGCATCTACGGAGTTATGCTCCAGAGGCCTTCGGTTAAAAATTTACACCAGCTTCAGACATTTATAAATTTGGTATCATCATTGGCAGAAATGTCAACAGGATGATTATAGTCACGGTGTTATAGCTTATTTGACACATTGGGGATTATTATTTACGTATAAGTTTGTCGTAACTTGCCATGTGCCGTTATAACTTGGATAATTTATATCCATATATAACCAATCAGTGCATCGGACTTATATCGGGATATCGGACTTCGGAAATTCGAAATCGTAACGGTAATAATCTAATTCATAACAATCCAATTTAAAACAACTCAATTTATAATAATTCAATCTTATAGCGATAGCAGTTAATTTATAATAATTTAGTTCTGTAATAGTTATAATTTATAATAGTTCAATTTTGTAGTTTTTATCATCCCTATATTGATAAACCAATAGATGCATTGATTAGCCGCATTTCAGGTACACTGTAATAATAAAAATATTTACGGTGGCAATATAATAAAAATATTTACGGTGGCAATCATAAATCATACAGCAAACCAAAAAAATTATCATCGTGCATCGCCATCATTCTCAAATTTTGGAAGCCGGGTAAAAAAAAAAAAAAAAAAACCTTTAACCCACAATTCTGCAAGGTTTTTTTTTTGTTAGGCGAAAAGGACAGTTTATATACAAAGTTGTGATAAAGATTTTTTTCGATTTTCACGTTATACCTGATCTTGCATTTTAATTGGGCGATCAAGAGGTAGCGATGCAAATCTCTAAATTTATATATTATTAATTGAAAATAACAATTCGGATGTTACTGTGATTGGGATAAGTGATAATACATCACAAATCTTTAGCAAAGTCAGTTTATTATATAACATATCAATAAAAGACATTTTTATGTCATCATGAATTACATTTAATTACATTGCAAAAAGGTATGCTGGATCAAAAAGATTGAAACATAGAATTCAAACTCGCCAATACAGAAATCACTTTGTACATATAATAACCATATCCCAAGAAGACAAAACAAAACAGAAATGACATTACACTTGGAGAACTATTAAAATATTCACATATAGCAAATAAATCTTGAGTAAACGCGCAACAACTTGAAGAACCAATATTTTCACTAGTTGATGATGGATTGATTCGTTTAGACTTTTTTACGCTAAAGCTAGGGGTATGTAAAGTGATGGACAGAAAAGTTGGACATGATGATGACATCGATGAACATGAAGGAGGATTATGCGATATTCGTTGAGGATATGAAGAAGATAAAAGGCCTGAAGTTTAAATAATACGTGAGCATAGGAATGAAAACAAATGAACAAAAGATCAGCCAAACCCACTAGATTTTTGGGCGACAGGGGAAACGACATTATGGTTCACAGGTGTTGTGCCAAGAGAGCGGACATCTTTCACCAGAACGGCTTTAAAATAAATGCAAAATTATTAAAAAAAATTAAAAAAATTAATACAGTAATAAAAAAGAAAGAACTCAAGACTACCTTTTAATTTTTCAACGCTCTTATCTGAATGATTGACATGATTCATGAACGGCAGAGAAACCAATTTCCTTTGTTTATACTATTTTTAATAGCTTATGTTAATAGAAACCTTAAAAGATTTTAGCTATTATAAAATGATAATACTGTAAATATTCATTACCTTTATCTCCAAATA